CTAAAACAACGAAAAAATTTCCTATAAAAACGGTGCTACTGCAATGTTTCATTAGCTTTCACTCGCCTTGAGAAAAAAGCCAACAGTCGTTTGTTTGAAAGGAAGAGAAAGTCTGTATTCTTTGTTGACACGTCTAGCGTGCTACGATGACACTTTAGGCGTGTTATTTGGCACGGTAAAGACTTTTATTGCGACTAACACGCTTTGTTGTTTAACTCGAACACGGTCTTTTGTATTTAGCGTGCAATAAAAGACAAAAGAAAATTTTAATGAGCCTACACGCTTGCTGTGTTAAACCGTGTCAGAGAAATATGCTATTGTTTAGCGTGTTAAATTAGCGTGAGCGTGTCATCACCTTTTTACCTGAAGTCCCATGGATGGTCACAAATGATATTATAAAGTACCCTAAATGATTCTTGCATCGCTTGTAAAAATATCTTAATAAAAAAATTAAGATTTGTTCTTTTTCGCTACAACAATGGTCATCACTTTAGTAAGCGATCAGCATCATCTCGTCATACTCGTCCATGTCAAAGGCCTGCAGCAGGGTCTTGGGTGCGGCGAMTTTATTTAATTTTGTTTTTYAACCGAGTCAAAGTTTGTACTGCTGGATCCCAGGTTCGATCCTGGACTCGAGCGCGTCAAAAAAATATATTATAAAAATAGATTATGAMATAGCGAGTCGACCGCTCTGCATGGATTTATATCATGAAAATTGCGTGACTTTTGGTGGGTCTGATTCCTTCCTCTCAGCATTAAAGCTATTAGTTTTCCTGTCAGTCGAAACTAGTACTCGTAAAGAACACCTGGGTACAATGCTCGAAAACAGCGACTGCTTGCCATCGGTAACGTGGCGCTACTAATTCGTGGCAGACAATTCACGACGATTCAATAAAATTCAATAAAGCCCATGTAAAATGTAGCAAATATACACAGAGGAACAAGAACAATTTCTGACCCTGAAGATGCCAAGGTGGTCGTGACCTTAATATTTGCACAGGTTCCTAATTTCAGACCCCCCAAAAGTATCGTCAAGCACCCCTACCCACTTTCCAGCATTTCATGGGTAAGTCAGGGCAGTGGCGGCGCAGCGCTTTTTTGACTTGAGGGGCTACGTTCCGGCGCCCCTGCACGGAGAAGGTCATAGGCAAAATCTCTCAAAGTGCAAGTCTCAACATATTGARTTCAATTAATATATTCCACGGGAAACTTCTATACACAGAACATTTAACATAACTCAAGAACAATTACTTGATAACTCAAGAACATTATTTCAAAACTTAACTCATGAACATTATTTCACAACTCAAGAACATTTAAATCCGATAAAATTGTATCTTACCCTCTATAGGATGTGCATTCMATGYGGAAASAACSCGCTTTGCTCCGACTTCAGCAACGCTCATCGTCACAACGGAGACGCAAAATTTTACAACTGGATCGTAAAGGTTGATCAATAGTCGATTCTCCATGGAAACAAGAACTTCCTTTATAGGATATATAACCCTTTGGTTTAGCTCTGGCCACTTTCTTTCAGCTCGTAGATTCTGAAAATGAACGTAATCTGTCATAGTGATCGGTGATCGTATAAAGATTAAACTGAATTTTTATGTGGAATTTGTAAAATTACTCAATTTTGCTCATATACACAGGCATATAAAAATTGCCACANGAGTCGAATTTAAGCAATGTTCCTCTGGGAGAATTTTGGGGAACTTTTAGTATGTTGTTTAGCACATTATTCTGAGTAAGAAGACACCTAAAAAGCTTTTGTTGCAATTAGTTTGATTTTCGCCCACAAAATTTCACAGATTGACTGGACTACAAGTAATCTTTACTTGTCCGGGTAATCATTACTCAGATTTTCGCGAAATAACGAACCGTGAATTCATGATACAAAGTATAGCTTTTTTATATAAACTTTGAGTGATAAAGCGAAATTGATGTTTTGATCGATATGAAATTGCAATGTAAGACGAATTTTGTATTTATATTTAGGTAGGTCACGCAAAGAATTGTACCGTGCATTTTAATCTTAATACCGCGTGCCTCCTGTCTCAGTGATAAATCCAAAGCTGATTTAGGTCGAGTGACAATCGAGTATTTTAAGAGGCGATCAGAGTAATCATTACCCATTGACGACCAATCAGAGATAAGTAAACCAGTAATCATTACTTCTCGGGGTAATAATTACTCGTACTCAGATAGATGTTCGCGAAATGGACATCTCCAGTCAAGTCATAGGACAAATTATGGCCTGACTAACTAGGAGTTTGCGAGATAAAACAAAATTTGCACTTTGATCGATATTAGATTGCATTCAATGACGAATTTTGTACTTTCCTTAGGTTATACGCGACGTCTTGAACCGCGCATTTTAATCAAATTTCCCGTTTGATCCTGTCAGTGATAAATCCAAAGCTTATTTGGGTCGACTCGCTAATCTATTACACAAATTAATATTACATGAACTATAAACACTTTTTCACATTTTTTCGTTGTAGTAAAGAAAGGTTTGATTTAGCGAAAAGCACGAAAAGAGCAATATTATTAGAAGACATGTTGTTTACGCGATTCGGTAAAGTTTTATTGTCTGAAAGTTCTTTGTAACCAGCACATTTAGACCTATTGGTTTGTAGGATGATGAAGGATTCTAATTAAAAGCTATCTTAAAGACGATTGTATCTGATGCATCCAGTCGATGTGCGACCGGTTACAATCACATTTATTATAAGAAGCGCAACGCTAATCACCATTACCTTTGTTGTTGGTAATTGTTACCGCTACACTTAATCAAACTAAGAGCTAAAAGCGATTATTATTTGTAGACAATTTTGCTACAACAGTAAATGTAATGTGGGCCATACGTATATTTGGAAGTATAAATGTTGACAGTTTTGCAGAGTCAGCAATTATAACTTACTCAAAGTTTTTATTCTTATTAAATGCTATCCGTAATTCAGTATTATTCAAACGAAAGTAAGCAAGCAACCATTACTTCTCTGGGTAATAATTACTGTAAGCGAGCAGTGGGTAATTAATTACTAAGCGAGCACTCTGCGAAAATGTGTGTTTTATTCGTTCTTAAATTGCGATGAAATTCGAGTTTTGAACTATTCGTGTAAGTTGCGCAACCTCTCTGTTCCGCGCAAATTTATACAGTCAAGATAACTTTGAGTACAAATCACTTATGAGGTCACTTAACACAGTGGCATTACGAATTGAATTTCAATTTTACAAACATTGTAGATCATTGTGCTCTGTGTACACATAACCGCAAATTAAATTCCTTTACACACCAACTGTTTGGCTTGCTAAAAGCTTTTACCATGCACAATTTCACACGTCAGTTTTAGATCGAAGTTTTAATTCCTATCGATCTCTGTCAATGAAAGTAATGTCAAATGCCGGCAAGCTTTCATTAGCCAAGTCTGTCAGTTTGTTACAGCACGTGTTTGTCCAACCGCTGCAACGTGGAGCTAATCGAAAACGACACGATATTACAACAATCGCAATCACGTTATTAAGTGGTTGTCATAAGGCGCTCTGCTATGACATAACGGTACTCATCTACTTCTTCCTGCAATAAAAAATAAGTACGTGGGTAAGAAGATTTCCGGATATACATACACTTGAAAATACAATGGGTGTGTCTGGCTCTAACATGATTAATTCTGCTATCTGTGGAAAAAATATAGTATTTAAATGACGGCTTGTGTTGAAATCGAATCAGTAAAGATACTAGTACCTTAAGAACATAAACACCACAGCTCACATCATCGTGCTGAATTGGGTGTTGGACATCATCAACCTCCCAATTGCCAGCTAGACCTCTCTCATGCAGAAATTCTCTGTTGGCAGAATGAAAATGAATATTTGTAAATCACGGGATAGCGGAACTTTTATTACATGTACAATTGATCCTTACCTCAGGATTTTGTAATGCTGGGAGTTCTTTTTGGGGCCGAGTGGATTCACAATCGACAACTTGGAGTTTTTTATGTCAATAATCTACCAGAAATAATCAAGGGACTGGTGACTATATAAAGAATATTTACACTCACATATGTAAGCTGGCACCGAGAATGGAGGTCAAGGCATTCTATAAGTACTTACTCCAAGACTCCAATGATTGATTTGCCCAAACTGACTGGGGAAAATCAGTTTGTCGTACTTTGAAAGGACAAGCTAAAATTAAAATATGACAAATGGATGAAGTTAACAAATTGCATACGTGAAACAGGACCGACGCAAAATACTCCTACCCTTTTTCTCCACGGTTTCCCATTAGTTAGCAGATCGTAAAATTTAGTGTTGGCTGTTACTTCCCTGAGAATGTACATATTATGTTACATATTAACAATAAAATAACATGCAAACTTATATGATATATACTTTTTTATTTGCCATCTTCTCCAGCAACTTGATGTACTCGTCCATCACCTTAAAGGATAAAATTAAAGATTGTTTAAAAAAAAGTTTAATTGTGTCTTGATTCTTGCTCTTTACTACTATACCTCATCATTCAGATAACCAACTTGCCAATGTAGTGTTCGGGGCATGATCTCAGTGGTCATAAGTGACTTGTGTACTGGATCCATCTCAAGCTGTAGTGTCTTGAGATCTTTCCAGGTAACAATTCCAACTTTTCTGAATGGGGCTTCTGTGCGCTCCCACATCTCCTCGACCTATACGATTTTTAAAGAAGTAAATTGTATCTAGCTTGCCATGAGAATCTTGTCGCAATAAATCCAGTGGCTTCAATACCTAGGAGTTGCGTTCCAATTTTAACAGAGCTCCAACGCATCTGTTGAAGTCCGAAAGCAATTCTTCCTCTTTAAAGAGTAGACCATTGGAATTGTCTACAGTGGCCTTTATTTCTGTGGCAAAAACCTGATGCCTCAGCACCATTTCTACATTTTCTTTTCTAGGCCATCTGTAGACCCCACTCTTTAATTTCTCAAGAAATGTTACTTTTGCTTGAGTATTTTCAATACTGGACTGCTCGACAATTTTNTATCAGGTGAAGATTTTCAAATTCAAAAGCAAATTTAAACCAGATTAAAACTGCCTAAGGTTCTTGAAGTAGAAGAATTGATATAATTGAGCACCAAAAACCGCTTGCACATATAATCTAACATACCACCATTTGTTTAATAACGCCACGGTATCGTCGGAGAATATGTCAGTTCTCCTCAGAGAAATTCTCCCTCAATAATCGTTGTCTTAGGCGTTCACTTGTTTCTCGATTTGCTTTAGTCTTTATAAACTTAATTGTTCCGTCTCTCAAGTTTTCCCTTGCACGCCTGCGTTATTCTTCACTTAGACTTCTTCGACGCTCTCTTTCTCTTCTTCTTGTCTTTTCTTCTTCAGATAAAGATCGCTTTCCGTTAGCTACCCGTTGATTTTCCGACATTTGGCGCAGAAGTAAAGTATTTCAAAGGACAAAAATGGAGTCGTTGTGGTGAAAAAGTTGTTTCAAAAATTGACGCGAGCGCGCTTCCTTTTCCCGCCTTCTCAAAAGTAACCAATCAGAATCGCGATGTACACGGACGGACGTACGGACGTACGGAAGGACAAGTGGGCTTCCTGTGTCGGTTGATCAAAACTCAACTCCATGGGTTTACCATTTTTCCTTAGTTATGGTGCTCCGCTTGCAAGGGCCTTTGGCCCGCGCGGGAGCTCCGCTATTAATATTCTAATGTATAACGAGACAACATACTATTATCACCAACGTTACTTGTTGATACCGGGAGTGGTTACCTTCTGGCGTCAATATAAGCAGCGATTGCTTGACCAACTAAATGGAGTAGAGGTGGATCTTACTGGTGATGCCAGACATGACAGCATGGGCCACTCAGCCAAATATGGAACTTATACTATATTTTGCACTACCATAGACCTCATCATCAACATAGTGCTTGTTCAGGTAACATTATTGGTATTTCTAAAATCATAGTCAGTGATGATAAGAGATCTTGTTATTAGAGTGGACGCTGGAAAGAATGCAAAGTAATTTTAAATACACTTTAGTTTGCTTTAGTGTACTTAACAGGTTTATAGAAATCACTCCATCATCACTGGACACACACTACAATCTAAACAATAAAACATCATAATGTATTATATTACAATTTCTGTCTTGTATGTCAAAATAATATTAGGCTTATGAATTTATAGGCAAATGAAGCAGGTCATCAAAGATCCATAATATTTCTCTTGACAACAGGAATGATAATTAAACAATTCATTTCTGACCGTCACACACCAATCACCAAATGGATGAAGGAAGAATGTGCAAAGAAAAGGGGAAAGCTACAATAGCACATTACTTTGATCTGTGGCATATTGCAAAAAKTATGTATTCCACAATAACATTGTTATAGTTTCCACCCAATTCAAATCACCTGAAAAAAGATTCATTGCTAACTGTATTTTCATTTCATAGATGAATTCTAGAATCAAAAGTTTAGCTGATAAGGTCTATTGACATGTTGTTCGAGGATCCTGGAAAGAAAAAAAAACAAGAAGAGTTTTTAAACTCTTATTAAAATTCTGACAAAACCAAAGTAGAATGATATTATATTGTTGTGATTGAATTAAAAAAGAACAGTATCCCCCTCATTTTACAATTATTTGTTGTTCTGAGATGCATGTAGGTTAGAAACATAACAAACAGCAACGAAAAATAAACAGAAATATATGTCAGCACAGTTTGTGAATAGCAAGTCAGAATATTCACTCTGGTTCCGAGGCTAACCCTTTTTTTCTTAGGACAGTATAACTTTTGTTTTTCCTCGTTTTGAGTCCAATAGCAGCAACTTCTAGTACCCACTTATCCAGGCAGACGGTTTTGAAAGCTGGATGATTTGTAATGCAGAATACTTCTTCTTGAAGCTCGTTCATTCTGTCCATACAACGCATGATTTCCGTGCAACAGAAACATTCCTCCTTTTTTGTGATCAACACTAGGTTGCACTTGGAACAGGTACACCTAAAGAAAGCAAAGGGTCTTATTTGGTGATCGATGATGCCCACAAAATGTATTGCTCGATATGCTAAGCGACTTTTTCATGTTTGACACGTTTATTTCGAAAGTTTCGTAATCAGATTGGCGTTCCTAACAATTAAAATGCTAGTTTCCATATAATTAAATTCTTACCACTGCTCTGACTCCCCAGAAAACCGTCTCAACAACATTTCTTCTTCCAGCTCAGCCTCGTGTTGTTCTTCGAATGAGAAGAATGAATTTCTTCTTCATTAGCTACAGGCTCAAGATCGTCCGTGAAGTTGTCGAAATCCATCGTAATATTATATTCAAGTAACTTAGCTCGAAGAAGCAAGCGTCAAAAATCTTATAAACTAGTAAAAAACACTGACACTAGGAGACGCTTCCAGTCGAACCTCCCGGTCGAGTAAAGTATATGACGTCATAAGAAGAGCGCTGGCCGTATAAATAGCCGTTTGGCAGTGAGACGTAATTTCAATGGCGGACGAGAAAATTATTGCGAATTTTTCAAACTTGTTGGAATATCGGGATAAAATCTATAACAGTTATTAACAAAGTACTATAGATTATTTTGGAAAAGTTTCAAGTCTCTACGAAAAAGTGTCATTTTCGTCCAAGTTGCACTTTAAGTTAGAATTGCTGATTGTGATATGTAGTATACAAAATAGTCTTTTCTGGTGGTTATTTAGCAAATGAACGGTTCTCAATTACTGTCACCCCATCCCTAGATATGTATTCGTTGATTGCATTGACCAATAAGAAAACTAGAATGCGNATGAAATCAATCGCCGCCTGGGGAAAGCAAGTACAACCTTTGGTAGGCTCTCTAAACGTGTGTTTGACAACAAGAACCTCACTATCAAGACTAAAGTGAGAGTCTATGAGGCCTGTGTTTTGAGTATTCTTCTTTATGGCGCAGAGTCATGGACCACTTATCGTCGTCAGGAGTTAAAACTCAACAGCTTCCACATGCGGTGCCTTCGCAACATACTTGGCCTACGATGGCAAGATAAAGTTCGATATGCTGTGATTCTGGATCGCTGTCATGCAAAGCCTCTGACAAGCATCTTAAAACACAGACGCCTCCGTTGGCTTGGCCATGTTTACAGGATGACTGACCAGCGTCTGCCAAAAGTAGCTCTATACGGAGAGCTGAGTGAAGGCTCGCGGAAACGTGGTCGTCCTCTCCTTCGTTGGAAAGACGTAGCCAAAAGGGACCTGATCAATTTTGACATCAACCATAAGAACTTTGAAAACAACTGCCAAGACCGACCGCTCTGGCGGAAAATGATCTACAGCGGTCTTGACCGTGATCACAAATCATATCTCGCTCATCTTGAGCAGAAATCCCTTAAACGATCAGAGAAGAGAAAGCTAAAATGAATTGTCTGAGTCATAGTTCCCTATGAGAACTGAAGACGGCCATAATATAAATAGAGTAAATTGAAGAAAAAGCCACACAACTTGCAACTTGTTGGTTTTCTGCTCTTCAATGGACGTTTCGGACATTCACCCTTGTAATAGAAGATTTAAGTGCCTTTAAATTACCGTTAATTCAGCTCCATCTTCTGTTGACTTCATCTCCCAATTTCTTCGCAAAGCGTCCATATTCAGTGTGAAACTTTCTGTGCGTATATACTTTGAACAAATAGAAGATGATAACTTGTGTGTACACATATATTTTTATTCAATTTCCTTGTTGTTACTAGTTTATACTGAGTTCATCACGTACTTACATCAGGAGTTCCTGTTAAATTATCCATTTCGTCATCACTACTCGGGACAAGATCTATATGTGTTTCCTTTTTCAAAGAGAAGAAAATGGAGTTCAAGATCATAATAAAACAGGGATGTGCACTACTTCTTACCCTATTGTCCAGGACATCATTATCAAGATCTGAAGTCGCGTCGCCCTATTTTAGACGGCATGAAAATGTTAGAAATTCAAAGCTGTAATTAGTGTTTTACTACAAGCCGACATACCAGATATTCTGAGCCATCATTATAAAAATCTGGTGGTTGAGCATCACCCTATAATTATGCGGCATAAAAATGTTAGAAAATTAAAATTGTACGTTAATATAGAAATGGTATTTTTTTTATGTCAAGCGACACGTACCCTATACTTTGAATCATCATTGTCAGTCCTGTCAACATTTGAAGTCGGTTGAGCTTCTTCAACCTGCGAGGAATACTTGTTCGTTTAATTTGCATATAGTTTCTAATCCAGATTTCAAATGTAATATGTATACACCCTTTTAATAAGTACCGAGGTATTACGTTCTCCGCGCTTGACATCAAATTCATTCTTTTGAATTTCTTTTGTATTGTAAAAATTTCAAAAGAATAAATTTGACGTCAAGTGCGGAGAAAAGAATAGAGTACAAACACTAAATCTGTGCAACTTAAATACCACTAAATACTGCTAAATTAGAGTGCACGTCACATAAGCATAAAACAATTCTTAACTATGTAGTGCTAAATAAGATTTAGTTATCAACTAACTAAGAATTGAGAACAATGCTACAAAGGAATTTAAATAATTGGCATTGTGTTTATGATTTGTTGAATTCTTAGTTAGTTGATAACTAAATCTTATTTNGTGTTTTAGTTACCGCGTATAGCATGTTTCGCATGCACTTCACTGTTTGAATGAAATCTGGCGGACGGTATTTAGTAGTTGGTTTGTTCCGAAGCGCACTGGACGCAGCAGACCGCGTTTCTGGCTTTGGCAAAATTGGCTGCCACGTGGAGCTGGTATTCGAGCTATTAACACGCATCGTTATATATTCATTTGCTTCGTCGGAAAATAGACAACGACCACTTATTCCAAATACGTTTTTTGACGTCGAACTAGTTTGAGGTGTTGACCATGCTATGATTTTCTGATAAATGTGTTGTRTAATGCCTTGATTCACTATATACACGATTAGCAAATGCTGCTTCATCACGTTGCGCAAGCTACTTTACACCTGTGTCCTCATTCCGGATGGGGAACAATCTTAACAATGTTCAGTGTGACGTTTTAAGTTCACCTCGGATACTATTTTTGCTCTAAATTGACGTTATCTCAAAAGACGTATCATATGAAAAATTCTACTAGTTGGAGAAAAAACCTTTATCCCATTTTACAAAGGAGGATTTTTTCCCAGTCTCTTAATGTAGGAATAGCTATCAGAAGTAGTCGTAGGTTGACCTCACTGGGTCGTGCTCTCTGT